GGGCCTTGGTCAGAGTCACAAGCCTGTTTCACTTCACTGGGGGGCCTGCAGAAAAGGAAATGCCATAGCCTCAGGATGGCTGCATCTAAGGAAGAGAGTTCAATAGAATAGAGCCATTTACATGTTGGGCTCAAGGTGGACTACTTTACAGACTTCATTTACATTACACCGGAGAAAGTGGGCAATCCAAAGAGGGTGGCTTTGAATGAGGAACAGGGGAACATTTTCTAAGGCCTGCGATAGAATTTAGACAGAGGCTGCTATGGGCAATTATGGAGGGGGATGTCTATATTCTTAAACACGAGTTTCTGCCACTGCCTGGGAATTAGCCTGCTAGTTCCCCACTGTAAGATATCTAATTTGTGAGACAAGAGGTCAGGGGTCATCTGTGTCTCTTGCACCGGCAGCAGCCTAGCAGGAGGTTCACTCAGCATCACCGCATCAATCGACGGAAGCCGAGATCCATGACTACGGTCTACTACTCCGGTCCGGATAGGAAAGTAGGAAGTTGGCTCAGCCACTCCTAGACATTCCCGTCCTGAGGTGGGGATCAAGGAGTGGCAGACACTGGGAAATATTTCTCCCCGAGACTTTAAGACTGGTAGCTGACACTAATCATCTTTTACGTGGCTAATGGTGCTTAGACACATTTTATGAGATTAAAAAAGTGCAGCATTAAGTCAGGAATAAGAGTGAAGTGTGGATATCCTTCCTTGTAGTGGTGAGCATTGGGTTCCTTGAAACTGATGAAGTTAGAGGCACACAGAGTGTGTAAAAGAGGTAAAGAGCATCCTTGTCTCACCCAGAGGCCAGGGCAGCCTGAATAAGTAGGCTGGAAGTCAGAGACAGAAAGAGAGACACTCCTCATGGATACACAGTCCGGCTGTGGGGGTCTGATTCCAGACACGTGGGCCTTTCAGAAGCCACTGAAGTGCAGCCTCAGCCTAGACTCCCGTAGGTGCCCAGGGCCTTCCTCAGTCCCTCGCATGCAAGGAGAGGCCTCTGAAAGGGAAACCTGGCCTCCACCCAGGAGACTTTCCTCCCAAGAGAAATGGGGGATCCACTGAGGGAAATGCAGGGGAACCTGTCACTCGAGACTCTGAGATCGGTGGCTGGGCTAGTCCCATTTAAGTGGCTGACAAGCGCCCGATGTTGTGTGCCACAGATGGCTTCCTTCTATGAGGACAGCGAGAGAAAAGCAGGCTCAGGTGCCTATACTCACCTCCCAAGTTATCCCAGACAAGCCCCTCAAAATGATGCCGGGGTTCTTGTTTGAAGAGTCAAAGAATGAACTTAGCAAACACCCAAGGTAGGAGAGTCAGGGAGAGGCTTTTATTGAGAGATACAGTGAGAGGACAGAGCTCCTGGCTCATGCCAGGAGGGGACAAGAGACCCCGGGGTGGTGCGTTGTCTAGGGGATTTTTAGGCAGTTGAGGATTTGGGGGAACTGATAGAGGGCTTAGGGTGTGGACTTGTTAGAAGTGGTCTTAGGATGTTTTGTCCTTGATGAGACATTTCAAGTCCCTTTTAGCTGGGGAAAGTGAATCTTACATATGATTATAAATGATTAGCATAATAAAAACATGGGCTATGCTGAGATTCTTTCCTTTATCTGGGGAATATTAACTGATCTCACTGAAGAATGACTCTAGAGCTTAGTGTTTATATTAACACAGAGTTTTGGTAGGGGGTTTCCTTGCATGTAGTTACATTGCTTTGACTGTACATATTCTGCCTTGCTTTTTCCAGAGGCCCTCACCCTACTCTGACTATACCCACAGTCCCTGCCTCACCTGGAAGGGTGGCCCTTTCTGACATGGGGCTGGCTGACTTCTTTGGACTACGTGTTCTTTACAGCTCCCAGCATCCATCACTAGAGGCAAAATACAAACCTGGGATTCTCTGAGAAGGAAAGGGGTAGGTAGTGAGATAGGTAGAACAAAATGGAGAGACTAGTTCAACCCCACATACCTAAGTCCTGACAAAGTGCCTTGTGACCTGGGCCACTGGCCCTTGTAAGGCTCTGTGGGTAAAACTGTAACATTTCCAGAATATCTCGCCTGGCTTTAATACATTCTCTATCAACAGGCATTCAGAGGTGGAAAGAAGTATGGCTTTAGTGCATTTGCATCATTCCTCAGGGGTTGAGAGAAGTTCATCTCCATATCAGTGGGTAATTACCTGGGCAATGGAGGGCTTATCTGTACCTGAAAGGTGAGGGGGAGGGCTGGTTTTGCTTCTGCTGGAGCAGGAAAGAGACATGGCCCAGGACTACAGTTTGTGAGCAAGAAATGGATTTTAAACTTTATTTCTCCCTTTGATTTCGGTTTTTAGAGGTATTTTGCCCCTGGATTTCCTCTCCGCGGACTTACAGGCTCCATTATGTTGTTTTTCATGTCAACCTATTGTTTTAGTAAGTTTTATAGCCATATGTCCTAGATTTAGAGACCCCTTGGTCATAAAATCGACAGACCCAAGACACAACTTGTGACATGGGAATAAGGAAAATTTGGTGTCTGAGAGTTGCCTTTTCCTCACTATAATATTAAATTTTCCTACCTGGGTGGAGATTTTATATACTAACACTACATGACATGATGGTACCACACACATGTATGTAATCCAATAGCACATGTGCTAATTGAAATCCTCCCTCTTCATGCTAGGTGACCCAATAACTAACGAATAAGCATTTTCACTCCCCATTAATAGCAGCTAGTCTGATTCTTTTCAGGGTTGACTCTTCTGAGCAGCCACCATGTTCTGCCAAGATGTTTGTTTCCTTACATCTCTAGCAAAGTGGCACTGCTTGCTTACATACTACTAAATCTTAGTGTTAAATTCTTTCAATACAAGAAGACAAGGCCCGAGGACCCTGTTCTAGTGTCTGCTGGTAATATTAGGAGAACACATTTGGCTTTGTCTAGAGATATTTTTGGTTGTGTTAAAAAACAATTCAGCCAAGTAAATATGAAGACCTAATAGGTTTTATTAAGTGATTCCTGAATTGGGCAGCATCCCATCACGTTCGTAGAGATGCTCAGGGATTGTATAAATGGTAAGGTTTGATGAGGATGGAGGGTGCCACGAGAGGTTATTAGCAAAACAAAAGGTTTCAGGTAAGGTCATCCTCCCCTTGGGGAATAAAAGGGGCTCTTCGGCAGACGACCTTATCTCCTTTGGTGGGAGAGGGGATGGAGAGGCCCAACTGACAGATTATCTCCAAGGTGTTGACCAGGTAATTTCTTGACTTTCAAAAGGTCTGTTCCTGGGTTGGAATTGTAATTAAGTCCTGGTTTGAGGGCCAAATGACTTTATTTGGGCTTCTTTTTTTAACTGTTGCCCTAATGTTTGAGGAGGGGCAGTGCTACTGGCATCCAGTGGGTAGAGGGCAGGGATGCTGCCAAATATCTCCTTAAAAAGGAATTATCGGACCTCAGATGCCAATAGTGGTGAGGTGAAGAGACCCGGGGTGGCTGAAGCATCCCAGCCTGCTCACCCTTGTCCTGAAGTGAACTACAAATGCTCGTGCCATAAACTGAACACACCATGGGAAGTACTGTTTCCCGGTACTTCCCAACACTTAAGTGCCCATACCCTGTGCTAGGTCCGCATCTAAATTGGCTGTCAGCTGGCTCATAACCCTCTCCTCTGCCAGGTGTGTCATTCGAGATGAGCACTTTGAGCAGGCACGTATTAATCTTATTAGGAATAAAAGGTGCCAGTAAAATCCCCAAGAGCAATAGTGCAGCAGGTCAGAGCGTAGAGGGCTTTCCAGTAACAGGTTCTGGCATTTGACCTGACAATGATCCGAGGCAGTTTATCACCAGGCCGTTGCGCTTTGCAATCGAGGAACCACTTACGCAGTGACCTGCTGGGACACCTGGCCAGTGGGACAGGGTGGGGGGAGGGGAGGGCAGAGTTCCTGTTGGTGTGGGAGGAGAGCGCTCCTGGAAAGGGTGGAGAGGAAAACGCCAGGGCAGTGGGCCTGTCCGAGAGAGGGTGGGGATGGGATTCAGACCGGGGATTCAGCCCCTAAGCCCTGCACTCTACGACGCCTCCTTCCTCTACCCCCTTTGTGCAGAGAACCCATAAAACACTCAAAGGGCATATTGGGTGAAACAGGTCACACAAGTTCATAAGTGATCGTGGGAACATCTGGCTACTGATTTCTGAGCCGGGCGGGTTCCCTGTGTGCTGGGGCGAGCACGTGGTGGGGTCAGGCACTGAGGAGCGTCCCCCATTAAAGGCAGGTGTGCTGGGCCAGGCCCCGGTCGGTTCGGTGGGCTTTTCTGGGGGAGTGTTGAGACCCCGCTCATCCCCCTCCCCCGCCAGGGCAGCTGTGTTGCGCCAGGCCCAGGCGGCGTCAGGCTTGCAGAGCACCGCTCGGCAGGTGGGGGGGGGGGCAGGGGGGGCGCACTGCGGCGGTGGGCCCGCACCATGAAGCGGGTAGCGCCGGGGGTTGCCGCCCTGCCGCCTCAGCCCGCAGACGCCTAGCTGTCGCTCCCTGCCTCATATCCCGTGGCCTGCAATACGTGGGACCGCTTGTCGCCCCAACCAAAGGACTCGGAGGCCGAGCCTTTCCGTGCGGCCCTCCCGCGGCGCGAGCAGGAAACTTCCCAGGATGCCTGGCTCCCGACGCCCAGAACGGCACCGCGCCACTGCACGCACCTGAGTCCCCGCCTCCCAGTCCGGCCGCCAGGTAAGCGCGGAACCGAGCCCCACCCCACTCAGTTCCGCCTCTCCGGCTTCGCTTGACGAGCAGCGCTTGACCCCGCCCCGCCTCTTGGCCTTTCCCCGCCCGCCCCGCCTCCAGGTGAGTGGCGCTAGCGCCTAGCCAGGTGAGCGGTGCCTGCTGCCGGCCCCGCCCGCCTCATGGTGGGCCCCGCCCCCACCACTGGCGCCTGCGTAATCGGCTCCTCGGGCCGGGGCCGTGGCCGGGCGGCGCGGCCGGCGCAGTCAGTGAGAGCAGTGCGCGTGCGCCGTGAGGTCGGGGGCGGGCGGCGGCGGCCGCGGAGCGGGGGTGGGGCGGCGCCGTCTGGCTGGTCAGGCCCGGACGCGAGCGCAGCGTGGTACGGTGGGCCCGTGGCCTGCAGACGGGGCCTGGCTGCCGGGAGGTGAGGCTGCGCGGGGCTCGGGTGCCCGCCGGGCCGGGGTAAGATGAGGGCGATAGCCCCCGGCATCGGCGCCCCGGCGCATTGTCCGGGCGGCGGGCGCTCCTGCACAGCGCCCCCTGCTGGCCGGGCTGCGGGTGGGGCTCGGGCCGGGCTCGGGCCCGCGCCTTTGTTTGCCGCCCCCGCCAACATGGCGGCCGCCCCCGGCCGGCCGCTCCCGGCGCGCTTTGTTCTGGTCGGCGCCCAGGCCGGCGGGGTTGCATAACCTGGGGTCCAGGACCCTCGAGGGAGGGCGGCGGGGGAGGGGGGGTTAGGCGGCCCAGCGCGCGGGGGTCTGCGCGGCCGGCGAGCCCTCCACGGTGACCTTGAGCGTGCCCGCGTAGACGCGGAAGCTGCGCAGTGCTCGGGTCGGAGCGGGCGTCGCTGGAGCCCGTCCACGCAGCGTTCCGGAATCCCTTGCTATGTGGCCTGCACGCTTGGCCTGTGTTTGGATGGGGATTTTCTGTGCGTGTCCAAGCGGCGAGTTGGGGTCGTTGGCGTGATTGGTCGTGGCGGCGCCTAGCGCGGGTACCTTGTAGCTTGGCTCTCCCTGCTGGAATTTTCTGGAAGGCGCGCCGCAGTCTTGGGGGCGGGCAGACACGGCGATCGCGCGTTGCTCGCTTTCGTCGCTTGCAGCTCCGACGCGGCGAGGACGTGGAGTTTCCGACGGGGCCGGGCATCCCGAGAGTGGGCTCACAGACCGCGGCCGGACCTGATGGTTATGTGCCAAGGCTGCGCAATATTTATGTCAAAATTACGGTCAGCACCTTTTAGCCTGAGAAGTAAAATACAATTTTCGTAATTTTTAGTCTTCGAGTTAGTGAAATGCTTACTGTTATAATACTGTGAAATGGGTAAGGCAGGAGGCCCTCAGTTACCTCTTTATGCTTACCTAGGGGTTTTTTAAAACAGACTTTCGATGACCCCAGGAATTTCGCTTGTACTGCCTCTGACAGTACCTTTAACTACCAATCCAAAACACGGTAACAATATTTACCTAATTTTGGAATAGCTGAAGCAGTGTTGGGTAAGATAGTTTTCTTTGTGACACTAATTCGAGAGATTCTGCAGGAAAAACAAAAGGTTCCTTGGCCACCTTAGTGTGGAAAACAATTCATTGTATCACATTAAGGGCTCTGAGAAATACTGTACTGTTTTTCATAGTTGGCCCCCTTTTCGTTGTTTTTAGAATTGTATCTAAACACCCATGCAGTCCAGTGACAGTGGTGTTGGTCGTTGGTGTTCTTACAGTGTATCTTAGGTAATAGTACCTCTCCTTTAACTTAAGTGAACCTGGGGGGCTGCGATCTTTTATTGTTAGCATTTTTTTTCCTGCTGGTGTGTGAGTAGATGAAAAGGATACTGTTGTTTCTGAAGAATTAATCAGGTAGATGATTGAGAGATTAAAAATAATGCCCTTGGGAAAGAATGTTGTTGGATATTCTTTTGGTTTAGCGGTTTGCAGGATCTTTGCTGAGAAAGCAGTTAATACACATGTACATGTAAATACTTACATTTATTAGGTGCTTAAGTATGTTTTCTTTCCCTTTTTCTCTAATGAAATTAGAAGAGGGGGATCAATTTCCTTGCCCAGGTGTTTTATTCGACTTGGCAGGCATGGTGTTGTGGAATGGTGGTGAACTCTGCAGTTGCACATGGAGATAGCATGGCCGTCAACTCAGAATAGTCTAGGTTGAAATCCAGCCCCACTCCATACCTGTCCAAAGCCACGTAGCTGATCCATCACGTAGCCTATTTAAAGTTTCCATGTAGGCTGAAGGTGAGCCCTGTCACAAAAGGCTATTAGGAGAATTAAATGAAATGGATTTGTAGGGTTCCCAGTGCAGCTATGCAGTACAGCAGTTAGTGCCAATCATTGTTGATTTCCTTCCTCTTCCTGGTTTGAACTTTGTCAGTTCAGTTACTAGGGTAGTATTTTTCATGTTGAAGTAAATGGTTTGTTTCCTTATTGTGCTCCAATATTCAAGGTAATTTTTAATTAAATCTTTATTAGGTGCCTATTTAAAAATTGCCCTAAGTTCTTTGTAGAACAAGTCACATTGTGGGTGTAATTCATACATAAGGTACGCCTTAAAGACCTTACTGCCTGATAAGGAAGACACACGCATACAAAGAGGGAATTCTGTGCTGAGGGTATCGGGGAGATACGGTGATGCTCTGGTAGGTCAAGAATGTGGAGCAAGAGAGAGGAGACGTCCAAATGGGGGGGAGCAGCAGCCACAGATGCATGGAGTGTTTGAAACAATCCAAAAGATCATCTTGTGTTAGCTTTTACTTCTGTGAGTGTGTTTATCCATACAAAGGGTTGAGAACGTCTTCAGGTTCTTCTGTGCGGCAAAGTGATTTCCAGGTCTGGGCGTGTGAGTGCCCTGTGTGTGCGTATTGATGAAGATGACAAAGTCAGTACTGCTGATGCCATGGGTACTTTACCGTGGTTGGTCTGTTAAGGGTGCATTTGGGGCCAGACTTTTAATAATAATGTGTGTCACATCAGGGCAGTTGGGGTTTATCCTGTAGGTGGGGAAGCCGTTGGAAGGCACGAAACAGCATGAAGGTTCAGTGGAGGAATCTAGCGTGGGACCACGACTCTGGAGTCTAGCCTGCTGGAGGAGGTGGTTGGTGTGGAGTTGTTAGCATGTTAAATGTGTTGACATATTTTGGAGGAGGGTGGTGAAGCAAGGTAGGATCCACTGAGCATGGATTTTATTTTATACAAATATTGAGAGTAAATGAAGAAGCTAGTTAAAGCATTTTTATGTATCATTTTAGATATTTATAGGTTATACTAAATGTCTTATAAAAGATAACTTTTTTAAAAACTTTGTTTATAGTAAATTGGTTAGTTGCTTACAGTTACATCCTTATAACCTAGGTTTAGTTTTTGGACCTGTCTGCAAGTGATCTATGTATTTCTGTATCTATAAATGACTTACATAGTTATAGAAATGTATATCTTTGTATTAACTATGTATCTCAGTTAACATTACTAGCTCGAGTTTTAGGTCCTGACACACAATAATGTCCTTTTTCCTGTATGCAGGGTTGGGTGGTTGTGAGTCGCTTTCTTTTTGCTTTCTCCTCTTAGCGAACTCTGTGGATTTTTGTTTATTCAGTGTGTTTTAATCAGGTAGTCATCATTCTCTTTCCTCAGTTGTCCTGACTTAAGATGGTACAGTCCTTTCAAGCCTGTTCTCTTCTGAAGCTTGGATGGAACCCCATTAATTTTTGAACTTTTCTTGCTTTCTGGTACCAGATGTGTAGTCTAAGACTCACTTTGTGCTTTTCCTATCAGCCAGTTCTTTTAGTTCCTTTTATTGAGGAGTGTAATTTAGATCCAAGATCTGGTGCTATGTGTCCTTATTGCTCTTGGGGTGCTCCTGCTTTCATTGGACAGACTTGGGAAATGTATATGTTTGGATTGTTAGTATTTCCAATTCAAGCTTAACATTGCAAGGTTTTTACTTTGAATTTATCCTTTTCCTTTAATGTTGAAAATTTGTACTCTTAGCAGCATTCTGTTATATAAATGTTGTAGTTTGGAAACGCTAATAGTAAAATAAAATAGTATTTTATTATAGTCCTCTTTGTTCTAAAATGTATCCACGTAAGGGTGTACAGATGACATTTTGAATTATAAAATCTGGTAATGTTTTTTGAAAATAATACCAATTTCAAAAATGTTACTGATTTGATTAGTAGTTTGGCTTACTTGCTTGAAATCCTTAACTTACAAGGATTGCTTTAATATTTTATTTAATGTATTTTCCAGCATATAAAAATTTATGTAGTTCGGATGTCACAGAAGTCAAAAGCTGTGTTGAAAGTTGTGTTCACAGCCCAGCTTCTAATCCTGTCCCTGCACTGTCTCCCCCTGCCCCATTTTTATCAGTTTGTTTTTCTTCTGCTGTTTCTTTTTTGCAAATACAAGCACACACCCCTCTTTTTATTTCCCTCCCTTTCTTAAACAAAAGATAGAACTCTGTGCACACTGTTAGGTTTCTTCATTTGACTTTCATCTATCATGGAATTACTTCATAGAAGCTCTTTTCCTTTCTTTCCCTGCATGCAGTTCATCTTCTAATGATGAACACTTGAATTGTTCATATTCTATTGCGGTTACAAATGTTGCTGCAGTGAATAACCTTGTGGATATATTGTTTTGCATTTGTGCAGGTTTAACTTTAAAATGGGTAAAAGGTAAGCATGTTTCTACTTTTGTTCAGTGTCAAAAAATTACATTTTAAAAAGGCAGATTTCATTATGTCACCTCTTTACTTAAAGCCCTCAGTGGCTTCCCATTGCTTTAAAGGACAGAACTCTGTACCTTGGGGCCTCACTTCGCCAAGCACCACCTCCCTGTCTCCCTTGCCCACGTCTCCTCACCCACCAGGAAGCCCGACATTTGTTCTTCTCTGCCTGGGATGCCGTTCTGTCCTGTCTCAACTCTTCAGTCTTCCTTTAGAGTCTGTCAGGCATCACTTTTTCATGAAATTCTTTTCTTATGAGTTTGCATTTTCATAATAATGGTAGAAGAGTCCAGCAAGCCCCCATCTATCGCCTTCTACAACCATCGTCAATTTTCTGAAGTTTTCGAGTTTTTTTCTTGGCCTCCCAAAGTCAAGTTCTATTAAAGATGTTGCTCTCCTTCCTGGTGCTTACCAAAATTACAGTGTTACATTAGTTTACATAATTCAGTGAATTTTCACTTTCCCAAAAAGGCTGAGCTCCATGAAAGCAGAGATATTTCCTGTTTTTGTCCAAGATCACTTCTCTGGTACTTAGCTCAATGTCTGGGCTGTGAATGCTCAATGCTCCCCCAGACATTCATTGTCCAAGGGGAGCTCTGCTGTGTGGTTGTGTCTGGCTTGCTGCACTGGGGTCTGTCAGACAGTGGTTATTCAGGGGTCTGAGCTAAGACAGGGTAACAGCTGACAGCAGCTTAC